CTGCAAATTTGTTTCGATTGACGAGCTTTAGCTATCGAGCTGTCAGTGCGCGTGTGTCCGCCGTTGAGTCTTGCTCGCTCAGGGCGTGGGCCTTCGGTCGCCCGCAGCTAACCAAACTGTAGTTTGATTGACTGCGTTTCGAAAGACGAGCGTTCCAGATGAGGAGTTCAGTACCGGTACGGAGGCAAGGTTCCACTGTACAATGCTCCTTTTCATAGACAATCGCCGTCTGACACGGCAGTTCTATCACAATTTCTGCTGATTTTTTTAAAGACATCAATGTCCAGGCTTCGTTCTTTCAGTGTTACACTGCCTGACTGCCCTATACTCCCCGCGTATTTGCACCACACAGGAACCTTGCTAGGAGGACCTCCATGTGCATCTTCAGTTTCTTGCTTAGGTGCATGCCATTGTGGCCCTAACGCCATTCCAATAGTTTCCATACCGGAGGTTTCTTACATTACCCGACGAGTTGCAGCCCATCTATCACTTTCGAGATGACTGCTCACCAATGCGCACAGGCATCATCTTCGCCACCAACATTCCCGTCCTGACAAAGACGCAAGCCAGCTGTGCTTTGAGGGGATTTCATCTGGGTTGTCTTCCCCCTGTTTGCAAGGCGAGCAAGGGCGTTGAGTATAACAAGTTTCGGTATCCTATGCAAGCATGCGCGAGGTGGTCATTAGTTTTGCACCTGCTGCTCAGGGCAGCGTGGTTTTGAAGTCACTGACGACAACTAGTCGTACTTCTTACGGCTGCGATCATGACTGATCTAGGCGGCCTTGATGGTGTCCCGCATGGTACTTCGCCAGCGCCGGCTGTTTTCCATACTAAAAGGATTTCTGAGGGTCAAGTTAGGTCATCTACTGTACAAGTCGCTTGAAACCCACGACATCTTTCATAAGGTAGCATCTCTCCTGAACACTCTTTTTTAGTCCGTTACTAATGCTTTCTTGGAGATCTTTCCCAGACCGCGAAGAGCGTAGTGTTGTAGAAGTCAATAGTAAAGTAGTAAACAAAACACGCGTACTACTACCACTACCCAATAAGCAGGCAGTTTTGCAAAGTAAACAGGGGCGTAGTGACCTGTATAATCGAAGATTTCCGAAAACACATTTCATGGGATAGTATATCTACTGCACACTAGTGCTTTTTTGAAAATCCTTCGCAGACCGCGAGGAGTATATTGTTGTAGTAAATAATCTACGTACTTTAATGTCCTGCCCTTCTCACTTTAGCAGTAGTTTTATGAGAAACAACAATTGATTCTACACCTCCCCCCACGCACAAAAACTCTTGCCATGCGTCATCAAACTCCGCAACCTAACTGACTTCTTCACTTACAGGCGAAGTCCTCAGCGTATGTCTGACCAGGTACCAACTCTTCTGTGCAACTTGATCAACCTTCTGCGGCAACCGGGGGTCGCACTAAGCGCAGTGAAGGGCGGACGACAACCCCCATCCGATGGCGACCCCGATGAAGACGCCGACGAGATCCGAGAGTTGGGCATCCAAGTTATCGACATTCTCATTCGTCGAGCTGCCTGCCTTGTGGCTCCTAAACTCACAGAGGCACGTTTCTTGTCCCCTTCTCGTTTTTACTTTCACCTCTTATTTTGTGCTATATTTCGACGGTAGTATCTTTCTCAGTAACATTAGAGCTGCGTTTATCTGCCTCCGTAAACACCTGCATTAGTTAGTCAGATGGGTAGCTTCTCCGTCGTTTTTGATAAGGCCTATCGACACTTCGACTGTCGGTTTGGACGATGTCCGCCGTATGTTCCACAGCAGGGTGGTGCATAAACAGTGACTTGTGCGTGAGTTAGTTTTAAGTGATAGCGGGTTTGCGTCGCATCTACCACAGTCCCCCTCTTCCCCCGTCCACCTGTGTCCGGTGTGAATACAGAGTCAAGAAGCCCGGAGACGGGATCGGGCGCGGCCGAGGCCGCACAAATGAGTACCACCACACCTCTCTCAGATTCAAGCTGCGTGGGAGTGCCATAAAGGCACATTTAGAAGTAGCCATTGCAGTTTGACTCTCAGTTCGCCAGTAAGCAACACAACACAACGCATACTGGACTGATCGCGCACTCTGAGTTTCCCTACCGTTGTCATCTTCTCAGGCAACGGCCTTTAATGCACCGTGATGGCTTCAAGCGCGTCAGATTGTCTATAGCGAAGAAAGAAATGCGCTTAGTCGTCGAATTAATTCTCTCCTCCACCGCCAGCAACAGGCCGCCGTCCGAGCCGGTCAGTTGGTGACATCATCGAGGCGAAGGGGCAGGAGAAAACGGTATGTTGGCTGAAAATGCAGTACGAGAAGCCAACTTCAGATAGAAGGTGTTGGATTTGCATCCGGTCGCCGGCTGATTGAAGTCGACTACACCGACAATATCGCCTTACTAGCTTTAATATTTAGTGATATGTAGTCTACGCTGCCATAAGGTCCCTGAATCGATCGGCGTATCCATAAACGCTGGGAAGGTCAGAGTGTTTTCAAGCTGCATCGCTGCTCAAGAGAAGACACCTCTTAATGACTATCAACGTGAATAAGTAGGCAGTCTTAAATACCTTGGAGCGAGGTTACCGTCGAATGGATAGAGTAAGGATGACATTCTCTCCCAAATCGATGCAGCTCGTCGAGTTTTCTCAAGCCTTAAAAGGTGCTGAACGGCCCGACGTGCCATCTGCATCACCACAAAGGTTCGCGTGTACCGTGCAGCTATTCGGTCTATCCTTCTCTATGACTGAGAAATCCGCGTTATGTGCGTGGAATGTGAAAGGAAACTGAAGGCATTTGACTGCT